CATTATCTGCCCCCAGTCCCACTGGTTTGGGGCACAGCCTGGCTCACACAATGCCCTGGCAAGGAGCCGGGCACGTATCTCGATTTGGGGACAGCGGCACGCGCTGGGCACGTGGGACTGATGGCTGCCACGTGGTAAAGGGGAGTGGATGGGGCGGCTGTGGAGACACCCCAAGGTCACCTATCCAAACACACCCTCTGGCTCATAATGTCCAGGGAGGATTTTTTGGGGGAGGATGGAGACCATTGTGGCTGGGGATTTGTACATCCCACCAGGACCCCAAGCTGCCAGCACAGGTTGGATGGCTGCTATTGCATCTCATCTCCCAGTCATGAGTACCCAGAAAGGGGCTTGCTCCAAAAGACACCGGGCAGAACCATCACCGCTGTCTCAGCTCCAGGGCTCTAGGGACAATCCCAATGTGTTCTGCCTGCTGGATCAGATCCCTGAAATGGCTGAGCCCGTCCTGCGGGATCAGATCCCTGTGGAACACATCATGCAGTATGCAGAGTGCTGAGTGGGGCTGGGGGCTCAGTGGGCACGAGCAAGCTGCGAAACCTCCCCTCCCCCTGACTAAATCCCTTCCCTGGCGCAGGACAGTAGGTTATGGGACTCAAGCAGAGGTTGGATTTAAGGAGATTACAACTTCTCCCCCAGGATAATCTAGAAATTCAATTAAAACTCTCTGTCTCTCTCCTGGGCTGCAGCAGGGCCACGGGGCATCCTGCACCCTGCAGCCATGGCTGGGGAGCACTGGAGAGACCCCCCTAGGCTCAAGCCAGGTAAGGGCTGACCCTTTACCCCGTGGCTTTCCTAGGGAAGATTTACCAGGGGGGAATTAATCCCAGGATGAAGTAAGGGGGGTAGGGGGAGGGGCTGTGGGACCCCAGGGGTTTGTGTGTGGGTGCAGCCCTCTGGATGCATCCCTGGGGTTTCATGTGTCCCTCAGTGCTTGTTGACCCTGCCAAAGCGTTCAGCACCCCCCACCACCACCACTTGCCCTCATCCTCACCCCTCACCATGCCCCTCGCTATCCGGCACTGCGGATGTGAGCAGACAGACAAACAGCTGAAATATCCGGGGAGATGGGATTTCAGACCCAGCAGGGTGGCTGCAAGCTGGGGGTCACCACGGGTGATGTGGCATTTCCTGACCCCCCCTCCCCCCCTCCGCATGCTACAGCAAGGCACTCCCAGGGCCCCCCATTCTGAGTATGGGTACCGTTGTGTGCCCCGGTCCCATAATGTCCTTGTGCCTCAGTTTCCCTTGCGTGTGCACCATTTAGGCTCATTGACAGCAACGTGAGGCTGTAGTGAGGTTGGTGAGAGAGGTATCATTTCCCCACCTTGTTCCTGCTGAAACCAAGCAGATATTTCTCATTAGGAATGCGCCGTTGTGGGAGATCCGCCTGTCCTCTCTGTCAGCACGGGGGGTGCAGGGGGACATTTATCTTCGGGACTTTGTCAGGGCCTGGCTCGCCTCACATCAGCTCTTAATTAATTGGAAATGCGCAAAGATGGGATGGCAGCAAGGTGAATGATTCAGGCAGAATAGTTCCCTCCCCCAGATTGACACCGGGCCCTTCAGGGGAGCCCTGTGACCCCACAGTTTTACAGATTCCCAGGGTTGGGTTTCCACATCGGGACTCTTGCTTCACACTGACATTGCCACCCTGCTGCTGGGGCATGAAGGGCATTGCTGTGGGAGATAAGGACGTTATCTCCTGCTGCAGGGCAGGCAGCAGTGCCCGGAGTGACCTCCTTGTGCCATCCCATCCGCTCATGGGCTGTCACCTCTGCTGTGCCACGGGGACCTTCATGTCCTGGCTGCTCGTCAGGGTAAGGTGTGATGCTAAATCTCAGCAGCTCACTCAGTTGCCTGTAGCCAACTTTTCCCCGCGCGCTCGCTGTCCGTTATTGTAACATTTAGGCCCCTTTTAAGAAAAATAAATAAAATTAGCAGTGCTGTTGGCGGGTTGCTCGAGACGCTCGGGCTCTGCGGGAAGCGGCTCTGCGGTGGGAGCTGGGTGGCTGCAGGCGTCGTTGCTCCTAATGTCAGCTAATGAGCTGGCGTCAGCCATTGCAGTACAGAGCCCATGGGGAGCTGGGGGCTGCCCCTCTTGCTATTAGGGTACAGGAATCCTGTCGGGGTCTCTCCGTGTTAATTCTCTGCGGCGTGTGTTGAGGATGGGGCTCGCGGGTTCTGTTAAGGTGTGAGTTTCTTCCCAGGCTGGGATGCTCCAGCAGTCTCGATGCGGTTGCAGCACCAGCGTGGGTCTCAGTGTTCAAATTAAAAGCAAACTCAGCTTTCAGCGAACTCTGTGTTTCAAAACAAAACTGTGCTAAATAAAGTGAGAGCTGCGAGCGAGCGCGTGCTCCGGCACAGCCCCGCTGCGCTGCTCTGTGCAGCTGTGGTTTCCCCGGAGCTCTGCTGTTGTCCCCGGGGCTGGAGCTGCTCCCGGCTGTGGGTTTGTGTCCCCCCTCTCTCCCCCCCTCGATGCTTTGATCCCGTGTCGTTGTGGGGGGTTATGAGGGTTGACAGTGCCACAAGAGCTGAGCCGGTCTGGGAAAAGTTGGGTGTCGTGGCATTGCTTGCTGCCACAGGGTGTCCTATAAACGGATGGGGAGAAACGCTGTGGGATGTGGGGGGGTGGGGGAGAGGAAAGGAAGGGAGGAAAAGGTGAGAGAGAAAGAAGGGGAGGGACGAAGAAAGGAATAAAAGAGAGAGGGAAAGAAAAGGAAGGAAGGAAGGAAGAAAGGAAGAAATGAGGGAGGGGAGGAGGGAAGGATGGAGGGAAGGAGGGAGGGAGGGAAGGAGGGAGGGAAGGAGTGAGGAAGGCAGGAAGGAAGGCAGGAAGGCAGGAAGGCAAAAGGCAGGAAGGCAGGAAGGCAGGAAGGAAGGAAGGAAGGAAGGAAGGAGGAGAGTAAAAGAGAAAAGTGGAAAAAAAAGGAAGAGAAAAAGGAAAAAAAAAGGTGAAGGAAGAAAAAGAAAAAAATAAGAAAAAAGAAATAGAGAAATAGAGAAGGAGGGACAGAAGAAAGAAAGATAGGAAGGAAAGGAGAGGACAGGAAGGAAGCAGGGACAAAGGATCAAAAGAGGAAGTAAGAAGGAGAGTGGAGGGGCTGAAGCAGTGCCTCCACACCACCCGGGCACATCTTCCCCCCAGCACTGCTAATCCAGCCCCAGCTAATCCTCTCACAGGTCACCGGGAGCTCATTGCATTTTGTCCACTGCTCAAATGCATCTAGAATTAATTAAAAAAAAAAAAAAAAAAGCAACAGTAAATTCATCTGGTGACAAAAGCATGTGGCATGCTGCTTGGGGTGTTCGTACGAGGCTGTGGGGCGAGCTGGGGGGTGATGGAGGGCAGGCAGCCTGGTGTGTCTCCAAATGCTCAGTTCTGTGAAAAAGGAGGAGAAGGCATAAAACTGCTCATCTGGACAGCAGCAAGAGGAAATAAGGGACTTGGTGTACAAGACGTAGGCGGGCATCAACCTTTTACCAGAACATAGGAAGTATGGGTAGTTTGTTGATTTTCCCGCTGGGCTTCTGCAGTTATCCTCAAGTTTCAGGATGGATTTGGGGAGAATTTATGTAAAAGGAAGCCCAGCAGATCGCTGCTATCCGGGCTGATGCAGCCCGAGGCAGGCAGTGCCTGGCAATGCTCCCTGCTGCTGGCAGTGATGCTGGGCTGGCCGCCCAGCCTGGCCTGTGTGTAATGGAAAGGGTATGCTTGTCCCTGCCTGTCCCCAGGGCTCTTGCTGATTGCAGGGATCGAGCGCATTGATCAGGCCAGCGGGTACAGAACAGAGAATACAGCCATGAGCTGGGCACCTCTGGGCTGGGGGAGTGGGGGTCTCAGGGGGGTACTGCTGGCAGCAAGGTGTCATCTCCCTTGACACATCCCACAACGTTAAATAATAGCGTTCATGATGGCAGAGGCAGTTTGGGAGGATGCTTGGGATGAAGCTTCTTGCAGTTGCTTTTGCAGCATGATGTGCCTCCTGTTGCCACTCCCGAGGTGCTAAGGGATAGCAGGATATGTTTGTCTTCCCACACCATGGGACAAGTACAAGTCCTTAATCCTGCAGCTGGGCCATCCAGATGGGATCAAACTAGTTCCTTGTCCCCTAGCACCACTTCTCCCTTCATTAGACTTGGACATTAAAGCCTATCTGTGACCATAGATGGTTCCATGTCCCAGTGGACACGTTGGGAAAATTGCTCGCCAGGACATCTGCTCAGAGTGAGTGCCTTCCCGGGGCCATCTCCAACCAGCTGCACGTTGGCTGTGTCCTCTCCCACCCCCGGGCCAGGGAATGGAGGATATATCCACATCTCTCTGTGTTTTCCCTCGACCCTAGAAGAGCTGGTGCTCAGGAGGTCGGGTGACTGCTGCTGTGATGTGCTGGGCAGCGGTCCATCTGGCATGGGCAATGTGAACTGATGGAGCCGCTTTCAAGCGTACCTTTATTAATATCTCTGAGGAAGGAGAGCAGCTTGGCCTCTCTGCGCTCCTCTCCAGCAACCTGACCCTGCTCTGACAGCAGAACTCACAAGGAATGCGGAGGGGAACAGTTTTAAGAGAATCCAGCGCAGTCCAAGTTTTCTCATTTGCTGGTGTTGTTGTGGTTCTCAGAAATGCTGTGTCTCCCTGCCGTACACAAAAAGAACAAAATTTAAGACGTCTTCCTTCCTCACATGTAATTCTGGGGAGCAGCCTTACTAGAGAAGCAAGGGAAAGGCAGTGAGGGAGGTCTCCGGCCAGCATGCAGCCACCACTTGGTGGACCCCATTTTTGCCACGAGAGCTAATGGCCCTGTCTTTGTTTTCTCATTGCAGAGCCTCTCACGGGAAACTTGTGGTGACGTGGCTGCCAAGACGTGGAAGCCTGGGACTTCTCTTCCACCGCACCAGAATTTGGGGGGTGGGCAGGGGTGGGCCAGGGGGACACCGGGAGTCACAAGACCCTTCCCCTTCACTTTGGGCTTGGCTCAGGGATGACTGCAGGCAGGGTCAACCCTTACAGCATAGTGTCCTCCGAGGAAGACGGACTGAGGTTGACCACCATGCCAGGGATTAACGGCTTTGGCAATGGGAAAATCCACACCAGGAGGAAATGCAGGAACAGGTTTGTAAAGAAGAACGGTCAGTGCAATGTGGAGTTCACGAACATGGATGACAAGCCACAGAGGTACATTGCAGACATGTTCACCACGTGTGTTGACATCCGTTGGAGGTATATGCTCTTGCTCTTCTCCCTGGCATTTCTGGTATCCTGGTTATTGTTTGGGCTGATTTTCTGGCTAATTGCACTCATTCATGGAGATCTAGAAAACCCAGGTGGAGATGATACCTTCAAGCCTTGCGTTCTGCAGGTCAATGGCTTTGTGGCTGCTTTTCTGTTCTCCATCGAGACCCAAACGACTATTGGTTATGGCTTCCGCTGTGTGACAGAGGAGTGCCCGCTCGCGGTCTTCATGGTGGTGGTTCAGTCCATCGTGGGGTGTATAATCGACTCTTTCATGATTGGTGCAATAATGGCAAAGATGGCCAGGCCCAAAAAAAGGGCCCAGACGTTACTTTTCAGCCATAATGCAGTAGTGGCAATGAGAGATGGGAAACTCTGCCTGATGTGGAGAGTCGGGAATCTCCGGAAAAGCCACATAGTAGAAGCCCATGTACGAGCTCAATTAATTAAGCCCAGAATCACAGAAGAAGGGGAGTACATCCCACTCGACCAAATAGACATCGACGTGGGTTTTGATAAAGGCTTGGACCGTATCTTCTTGGTGTCCCCCATTACCATTCTCCATGAGATCAACGAAGACAGCCCGCTGTTCGGGATCAGCCGCCAGGACTTGGAGACGGACGACTTTGAGATTGTGGTCATCCTCGAAGGCATGGTAGAAGCCACTGCGATGACGACACAAGCTCGGAGCTCCTACCTGGCCAGCGAGATCCTGTGGGGCCACCGCTTCGAGCCTGTCTTGTTTGAGGAGAAAAACCAATACAAAGTAGACTATTCCCACTTCCACAAAACATACGAGGTCCCGTCCACGCCCCGCTGCAGCGCCAAGGACTTGGTGGAGAACAAATTCCTGCTGCCCAGCACCAACTCCTTCTGCTACGAGAACGAGCTGGCCTTCATGAGCCGCGATGAGGATGAGGAGGATGATGACAGCAGGGGTTTGGACGACCTGAGCCCAGACAACAGGCATGAGTTCGACCGGCTTCAAGCAACGATAGCGTTGGATCAGAGGTCATACCGGAGGGAGTCAGAAATATGACTCTAGGTCCTCTCGTTGACTTTTCCGAGGGTATTTTTTTTCCTCCTCTAATCTCTTCCCCTACAACCCGCTCAAATTATGCAGAACAATGCAAGTGCCATAGGAATGCTTGAGAAATTAGTCTTGTTCCTAGTTTTCAGTTTCATCGCAATAACCACTGAGCGGTCTGCAGGAGGGGACGGGGCAGGCACAGCGCTCCCCACACCCTGGGGGGACGGGGGGGTCCCGGGGCATGTGTGTCCCGTACTGGCTGTAGGGCTGGGCTCTCCCCATGGGGAAAGCGCGAGCGTCTTCTTGGAGCCGAGATCCAAATAGAGGAAATATCAGGAAACAAACCTTTATCTTTCTTTTTTTTTTTCCTTTTTTTTAAATATAACTGAGCTGCAACAAAACAAAAATCGCTCTTTCTGGCAGGCAGTATGATTCAGTTGCACAAGAACAACACTTGAAATACCATGCAACGTTAACGTACTTCTTTTTAATTTGGGGAAAGGGGAGGGGAGGGAGGCAAGAAGGTTTTTAATTTTTTCAACGTAACCTTTGGGAGACTGTTTACCAAAATAATAATAACAATAATATTAATATTAGTAATAATAATAATATTAAATCTGAAAGAAATGATTTGGTATTTTTTAAAAGCGAGCAAGGGAATGAATAAGCTGCAGGGGTCTCTTGAGTGGTGACTTGCTGGGTAGATGCAGGAGCTCAAAGCCAAGGCAGCATCTGATTGAGGGGTGGATTTTTTTTCCACTGGCACTGCTTCATAGGCAGAAAACAGATGTAAGTGGCTGCAGGTCCGTGGCAGTGAAAGCAAGTAGCGTAATTACCAGCAAAGTAGCTAATAAGGAAAAGCCAGACTGCTGTAGAGAGAACCCTTGTAAACACAATAATTAGCCACACTCTGGAAATATTGATCTTCAGGGTGGAAATTGGGCCTGGGGCGTCAGCTGCTGAAGTGCTGCGTCTCCAGTGGGGAATTCATAACTTCCACCAGAACTAGGATGAAAAAATGAAAAGCACAAAAGGCAGACTGGAAAGCTCTTGAATTTGGGTATTTTCCCATTCCACCCACCAGTGTGGTATTTTCTCCTTCAAAAAACCATTTGAAATGTGGAGATCAAGGTGAAATGTGTCTTGCTGGGTTGCATCTGATGTAGCCCAGAAGTAGGACGTGAGCATTGTCCGTGCCGCCTCTGCCGGGCTGGGATTTGTGAATTCCCCATTCACTGGAGGGTTCTGTTTGGAGGCGGATTCTTTTCCAAAACCAACAGATGCCAGTCGGGAAACCCACCATGTCCTGCACATCACCCTGTCCCCATGTCCCAGCCTTGAGGTGGATTGTGCCTTAGAGATGCAAACTCACACGCGCTCATCCCACGCCCATCCCACCCATTCCCATTGCTCTGTCCCATCTGCTGCCCTTTGGGCTGGTCTTGTTTGCACGCTGGTTTGCCTTTTACTAACATAGAATCACAGGATCATTAGTGTTGGAAAAGACCATTACGATCGCCAGTTCCAAACGCCAACCCATCTACCACCATGTCACCGAACCTTGTCCCTACTATGCCATGAGGCAAACCGTGCCGTGCATGGGAAGCCTTCTCTCCCTTTGCAAGGAGGGAAGTTGGGAAGATGTAGCTCACTGCTTCCCTCATGCTGGAGCTGGATATGGCTCTCTGTGCTGCAGGAAGGGCTAGGGTCCTGCACCCGGCTTCAGCCATAAGGGCTTGGGAGAGGGGTCTGCAGCAGTGCTTCAGCTCCGTGGGCTCCTGGCACTTTCCTCTCCCCATCCCACTACAGGCAAGCCATGTCCAGGCGTGATAGCCTAGTCTAAATGCCAGCAGCACAGGTAGGATTTGTCCTCAACCCTCGTCCCTATCTCATTTTTGCAAAGAGTGTCCCAAATAGGGCTGTCCTTAAAATGGGGGACACACCAGGACTTGCCATTGGGCACCATCCATGACTTTCATCTTTCTGATGAAGTGACACATTGCCATCCCATCACCGGTCCCTTTGCACCAACGGGGATGGTTTTGCCCCCCGTGTTTTGCCCCACAGCATCGAGGGGGGTGGGCAGGGCAACGGGGAGGGGGCAGAGAGATTTTGTGTGCGCACTACTTATTTATTTTTTTAAAGAAATGCTTTTAAGTGGTTTTAGGTTCTTTTGAATAAATAATAACTCTATTAAAAGGTGCACATCTTGCTGCTGTAGGATTCTCAGAGGGTTAATTTCTTTATAAATATATATATCTCACAGTAAATATTTGTACAAAAAAAAAAGGGGGGGGGGAAAAAAAAGAGAAATAGAGATGTCTTTAAGTAAATTATTGCTTTTAAAGGAACTTATATGATTGTACAGTGTTACCTGAGAGAGTAGAATAATATATACAGAAGTATTTTTAAACTACTGCGTAGGGAGGTGGGGGGGTTGAGCCCACAGAGGCCAATTTGGGGCTCTCCTCTGCTCGTGTGGATGCGCCCCTCCCCAAAGCCCACTGTGAGGCTCTAGCTCTGGAGAGTTGTTGCACCTGCACGGTACAGTCCTTGTTCTGGACATGGGTGTGCTGGTACATGGTGTACAGATGTTATTTTTGCCTGTTGTGAGTGCTCAGATCTCCTGGTTGCTTTATGACCACCACAGAGCACAGCAGAGGCTGCCTCGGTTGGTGGTTTTATTGCGTGCGCTGTGAAAGAGAATTGGGGAAAAAAGGCAACAAAAAGCCCCAATGTGGCAGGTGCTCCAAGGAGTGGCTGAAATGCTCTCAGGGTCTGGGTTCTGGTGTGGGAGCCCCCAGAAGGGCTGCTCAGAGCTGAAATGGTGGACTCCCCAATCAATCCTTGTCAAGACCACGGAGTACAGCTGGCATTACACTGATCCTTGGAGGATGGGGGAGGTGAGGAAGGCACAGCCCCAGTCACCTTCCTGCAGCATTCTATGCTGCGTGCCCATAGCCCCCAGCAGCCCTGAGTCGGAGTGAGCCTTGGGTCCTTATAATCCAGCGGAGTGCACTTCTCTGTCGTTAGGGCTGGGACAATCATTGAGTGCTTCACCTCCCGCGATGCGGTGCCTGCTCAACCTTCAAACCTTTTGTAGGAAATGAATCCAGAGCCACCTTTTCTATCTTTAATAAGGCAGAACAGAAACGTTTTATTTTTAAACCCTCCTGCTCTTTTCCTTTCTTTGTGTGCTGACAACCAAAAGAACCCCCTCCCCCCCCGCCAGCCCCACTCCATTGCCCCATTTCTGTGCTTGAGTGCGTGGCCAGATTCTGCTCTGCCACCCCCCCCCCCAATTCAGGGATGCTGCCACAGGGGGTGGGCGCAGGGCTGGGTCTGGACGCCCTCCAGCTGTGCACATCTGTCCCGCTGCCCCCATCCCCAGGGTGGGTACCACCTCGGAAAAGCCCCATCTTTCCTCTTTCACCCCTAAAACATGCACCTCAGGGCTCCCTCAGGCTCTGTCCCATGCAATGTGGGGACCGAGGCTGGCCCCCAGTTTGACAACTGGGAGCACTGGTTTCCCAGGGGTAAAAGGCAGCGTCAGTTTGCTGGGGACACAGTGACGTGCAGCGGTAGCAAAGTGATGGATGCAATGAAAGTCTCTGTACCTTCTCCACCTCCAGAGTTTCTCTGTCTCATTGCACATATATTTGAGATATATGTGACAATGTATATATATATTTGTAAAATGTATTTCAAATGACAAAAAGAAAAAAAAAAGAAAGAAGGAAAAAAAAACTGGCCAATTTTATGTTATTTTAAATATATTATATATATTATATATAAGAATCTCCAAAAAATATAAATAGAATAGAGAAAATAATATAAATATGTAATAAATGTATTTTGATCTATTTAAAATATCTCGCGTCATGCTGTGTATTTTAAAGACCACGGAGAACTGCCTGGCTGTAGAGTACTGGAAATGGGATTTGTAGGCTGTCTGTTGTTCTATCCTAAAGTATACGTAGATTTTATGTGTGCAGCAAACATTAAGCATGCCTTGGGGCCAGTGGGACTGCACTGCCCCAGGAGCTGGTTTGGATAAAAATGGGAGGCTTGTAGGAGTTTCTCGGCAAACATCCCTCTTGCTGCATCTAGGTAGGAGAAAGAAGCCAAATTTGAGTCTCAGTTGTTGCCAAAGGGAGATGATGGCTTGGAAATGCACTGGGCTGTGGGGTTACTGGGATGGGAAGGATGCTGAAGTTGGGTGTGATATGGGGGAATGGGAAAACAGGGCTCTGTGGTGTTAAATCAGCACAGCCAAGCCCTAAAAGTGAGCTGTTCCGTGCATCCAGCACTGGATGCTGCCCATGCAACCTGAAATCAGCTGCTGACACAGCACAGGGAGCGGATGGCAGCAGCTCAGCCGTGTGGGGAGCCTGAAGATGGAAGCCATGACCAGGCAGAAGGAGCACAGCCATCTGAGGCCCACCCACAAATCTTTCCCAAGCAACCTTGTCTGCCCTTGGGCTGCACGAGGATCTGCTTTCTAAGGGCACTGCCTCCTCCAGAGACACCAAGTGGCTGTTTAAACACCTCTAATGGGATGTCCTGGCTACAGGAAGGCAGAGTGAGCGTGCGGGATGCTCTGCTGGGGTTCGTGGCAGGTGGGCAGGATGGGCAATATGAAGAAATTGTTAATCCAGATTTCTCCGGCTGGTCACACGATGTGGGACGGACAACAATTGACCACTGGCTCCCAGCCACTGCTGCTTGGCTGGACAGACCCATTCCTTCCCTCACGGAGAGATTTTTGCTCATAATGTAGAAAAATCACTGCCAGCCACTCACTGCAATCAGCACAGGTAGGGCTGGCGCTGGGCGTGAGGTGGGAGCTCTGCACGTTTAATTTATCAGGGGGAGAATGAGAGGTGACTTGATTACAGCATTTGTCATGGGGAGAAAACATGAGTCCAAGGAGGTAACTTAATCTACCGGGGAAAGGCATAATAACAGCCTCTTCCTGGAAGCTGAAGCCAGACAAATCTGTCTTAGAA